CTCTCTCTCACTCTCTCTCTCACTCACTCACTCTCTCTTCTCTACACACCTTCGCCAAACAATACAATAGGCTAGGCCTAGCTCCCTGTTGTTGACCAACACGCCAGACTGCACAATAAACAGCCAGATAATAGACCACAAGTAAGACATCTTATCTTTGGCAAGTATAAGACCTATTTGGGTTGCCAGTGCCGTACAATTGGTCGCTTTTAAGCACAAGTGGGCTATCCCGAAAAATGCTGTTTTGAAAAAATCGAAGGTAAAGTTTTTGCCCCTTGTTCAGTTTCTTTAAAAGACAGGGAGAGTTTTCTCTATAACCAAACAAATATACACATCCATGAAACCAAACTTCTCCTATAGGTAGGGCAATGTCCAATTTTGGCTTTGGTGTAGGTCAAGATTTCTGGAAGCTCCCGAAATCTGGGTTAGCCCGCTTGTCCTTAAAAGCGACCACTTCTATCTCAAAGTAAAACTAAACTTTAAAAAATCCTTGTCACTTAGGACAGACAAAAATCCTTGTCACTTAGGACAGACTAAAATCCTTGTCACTTAGGACAGACTAAAATCCTTGTCACTTAGGACAGACCATCAGTCCAGCGTCACGGAACAGAACCAGATAACCGGCGTCACGGAACAGAACCAGATAACCGGCGTCTGTGGTGTAACGGTTAGACCCCTCGTCGTCACACTGTAGACCCAAGTTCGAATCCCCGTTAGGGAAGAATAATTTAATTTTCATAGTAATCATAGAGCCTCTCGTTCTTTTTGCTGTGATGTTGTATCCCTCTCAGCCCGGGGCTGATGCTGACTCGTAAGATCGAAGCCCGATGCCAATTAATAGGGTCTAAATTGTGTGGATGGAGGTGTAAAAACACCTGCATTTTAAAAAGAACCTAGATAGAAGAAGATTATAACAGGAAGAACTGAGCGAAATAAAATTTAAAAAACACACACACACACACACAGGATCCAATTTAACAGAGAAGTAGTGGGGTATTGGTGGTATTCAGGTAGGTGGTTGGCGGGTGCTCTGGTGTGGTTTGCTTCTTCTTTCTTATCAAACATATAGGCCTACATATGTACGTACGAATGTATGTATGTGTGTATGATGTGTGTGCGTGCGTGCGTGCGTGCGTGCGTGCGTGCGTGCGTGCCAAATTTGTGTAAAATATCTGATGCGCTACACCGATTTATGTAATTGCCGAGTCATGTGTGAAATGTGTGCATGCATGGGCCAAAGGCTGTTCAAATGGATAAAAAAAAACAATTTGAAATCTCAAAACTCCTATCGAGCATATATCGTCCTAGCCTCTCTTCCTCTGTTTGTGTTTGTTACTCTCTTGTAACACCTCTTTTTTTTAGTAGAGGTTTTCACGGCGCTAGCAACTACATAAGGTCATATGAGCGCCAAGGGGTGGATGTCAACAGAGAAGTCCTTACAGGGAATCAGACTTACTCTGCTCACCTCTCTAGCCTCAACAGCACAAAGTCTGCTTCGACTATCAAGGCACCCCGGAAATAACGTGTCACAAGAGTGTGACAAACATACAAAAGAAGTAGATCATCATTTTCATCACCATCATCATCATCACTGTAGACCATCATCATCATCATCATCTTCTTCATCACCATCATCATCTTCATCACAATCATCATCATCATCATCACTATAGACCATCTTCATCATCATCTTGTTCATCATCATCATCATCATCATCACTGTAGATCATCTTCATCATCATCTTGTTCATCATTGTCATCATCACCATCATTACATGTATCATCATCTTCCTCATCGTCATCATCAAGTGCTGGATCTGCGACAGACATGGGAGATCACGGTTCTCCATAATTTATTCCTTTGCTCGGATACTCTAAATAAAAAACAAGCTATACATGAATTATCCTGATCTCTCCCCTTCACCTATCTGTTTAGGCTCTCCAAGTAGATTGCTTTTAGGTTTTATTATCTTTATTTTTTTACAGTAGAGGTTTTACGGCGCTCGCAACTGCATAAGGTCATATGAGCGCCAAGGGGTGGATGTCAACAGAGAAGTCTTTACAGGGAATCAGACTTACTCTGCTCACCTCTCTAGCTTCAACAGCACAAAGTCTGCTTCAACTATCAAGGCACCCCGGAAATAGTGGGTCACAAGAGAGTGACAAACATACAAAAGCAGTAGAGGAAAATGACGATAGTAAGTAATAAAAGGAAAGAAAAAGCTGCAGTTCCCTGTTGTAGATCAGGCACAGTTATGAGCGTGACATTGATGAGTCAGCCCATTTACAATTCTACTGTGCTTGAACGAGAAATGTCCCCCCTTTGGGAATGGCCTAAAGACACTACAGTCAGTGGCACCGCCCCGCGGGGCCTAAAGACACTACAGTCAGTGGCACCGCCCCGGGGGGTCTAAAGACACTACAGTCAGTGGCACCGCCCCGGGGGGTCTAAAGACACTACAGTCAGTGGCACTGCCCCGCGGGGTATAAAGACACTACAGTCAGTGGCACTGCCCCGGGGGGGAAGCTTTTGGGTTCAACTCAGCCTCGTTTGAAGTCAAGTTGACAGTGAGAGCTAGATATTCAAGGCTCTTATTTCGCTACCTTAGAAAATAATTACTAAGTTCTGTCTGACATTTTCGGGCCGGTTTTTTTAATCAGTAACTAAGAGATAAGCTTAGTACCAAATTTCAGCTTTCTATCTTTATATATACCTTCATGGTCAGGTACAAAACTTTTGGTATGCCCCTCGTAAGTGTCTCAGAAAAATCTGTCTTCAAATCACAGCCTCAAGTTCGGAAGTCTTTATTCAATTTTAAAAAACCAACAACAACAAAAACAAAAACAAACACCCAGGATAAAAATCCCTCACTTTACTGTCTTCTGTTCTGAGCTGTGTCAACTGTTACTTATATTCTAAAATGCTACTACATGTACTCCTGTTGCTATTGGTACTACTACTACTACTTTTGCTACTACTACTGCAACTGCTGCTGATACTGCTACTTCTACTGCTGCAGTTGCTTCTGCTGTTACTTATATCCAAAATGCTACTGTGTACTCCTGCTGTTGTTATTGGTACTACTACTTCTACTACGGCTGCTGCTGCTATTGATGCTACTACTGCTACTTTTGCTCTACTTCTGCAACTTCTACTGCCTCAGTAGCTTCTGCTGTTACTTATATCTAAAATGCTACTATACTACTTCTACTGCTATTGCTGCTACTACTACAACTGCGGCTGTTGCTGCTGCTGTTGCTACTGTTGTTGCTGCTGCTGTTGCTACTGTTGTTGCTGCTGCTGTTGCTGTTGTACAGCCTCAGCACGGGGTGCCCGGGTGGTTCAGACGGTAGGGTAACTGGCCTGGGTGGCGATGCCGCAGTTGTTGTGTCGGTTCCTGGACATCATGATGTAGCCCTTGAGACCCCAGCTCGCGCCCCAGCTGGGAGAAAAACAAAAACAAAACAAAACAAATTACATTTTTAGTTCTTAGCTTAAGTAGAGGTTTTACGGCGCTCGCAACTGCATAAGGTCGTATGAGCGCCAGAAGATTAGAGGAGTTACAAGAGAGTAACAAACATTAAAAAGAAGAAGGGGAGATAAGGACGATAGATGTTTGATAGGAAACAAGAAGCAAACCACACCAGAGCACCCGCCAACCACCCACAAATTACATTTAAGTAGAATTGTCGAAAAAACCCAAAAATAACACAAAACAAATTACATTTAAGTAGCATTCTTGAAAAAAAGCAAAAACAATAACAACACAAAACAAATTACATTCTAAAAAAACCCAGAAAAAACCCAAAATTAAGTAGCATTGTCGAAAAAGGAAAAACAAAAAAAACAAATTACATATATGAGGCACTGTCGAAAAAACCAAAAACAACACAACACAAATTACATTAAGGTAGCATTGTCGGGGTAATTACTAATTAGGCTCTCATCGTCAAAATAACAAAAGCGAAGAAACTGTCATTTCTCTCACCCGCTGGGCCATTTTTGTCATTTAATTGGTCACTTTTAAGCATAATTGAGGGGACTATCCCGAAAAATGCTGTTTTCAGAAAATCGAAGGTAAAAGTTTTTGCCCCTTGTTCAGTTTCTATAAAAGACAAGGAGAGTCTTCTCTATAACCAAACAAATATACACATCAATGAAGCCAAACTTCTCCTATAGGTAGGGCAATGCCCACTTTTGGTGTAGGTCAAGATTTCTGGAAACCACCGAAATCTGGTTAGCCCGCTTGTCCTTAAAAGCGACCAATTTTGCACGGCATCATGGTGAAATCAGGCGCTCGTCAAAATAATGAAATCGAAAAAACCGTAGGGCAATTTTACCGACTGATTTTGCTTTAGGCCCAACAATTTATCTGTCCATTTAAAAACATAATTCTATGTAAATTTTGCTGAAAAACGTTGATGAAAGGGAAAAAAAAGAACGTGATTCCCATAACCAACAGCCAAAACACACACACACACACACACACACACACAAACACACACACACACACCTGTTCTTGACCAGC